AGAGGTGGGCCAGACTCAGGGCTGTGTGTGTGTGAGGGTCTAGACCACAGAAGTCTGACCAGAGAGTAACAAAGGACAGGAAAAGACCCCTCCCCAGCTCCAGCGTGGGCCCTGAACAGGGACACCGTCACAGAAGGGCGGACAGACCTGAAGCAGCCTGCTCCACCATTCCTGGCTTTCTGGACTCTCTGGGGGCAGAGTCCAGGCGATGTCACACACAGCAAAATAACCATGATCCCAGGAGGGAGGGCACAGGGGCCCAGCCCAGCCCTGCAAATGCTGAGAATAGGTAAAGCCAAGAGGGCTGAGGGGAGCCCAGGGCAAACAGGTAGAGGAGGGAGGACAGAGTTCTCACACCCTAGGGTGGGGAGTGGCAGCCTGTGCCAGGGGAGGTGCAACCTAGGAGGGGAAAAGAGCAGGAGAACCATCCACACTTGATCTGGAAAAACTTCTCAGAGGTCTGCTGGGCCCCCAGCCCCCACTCTCCAGAACCCCAGGGCCCCCACCCAATTAAGGGCACAGACTTTCCCTTCCCATCCCATAATTAGTCAGACCCAGCCCTGCCCCACCTTCAGCCACACCCTTAACACAAATAGCCATTACCCCCACCTCCTGCCAGTCCTCACCCTATCAGACCACCTACTCCTGCAAACCCAAATCTACTTCCCAGAAGAGAAATCCTGGCTGGGGTTTGAGTTCTGATCAACCCACCTCTTTCTCCCAGATCCAAGGCCAGAAGAATAGCTTCCACACTGCACACAGCCAAGGCAGGAGGCCTAATGTGGAGTAAGGGACTGGGGAGCAACAGAAGTGAGCACTACCCACTGGCCCGAGGGAAGCCCTCCAAGGTCTCGCCCAGAAGGGAAGGTGCCAGATGCCCCCTCACCAGAGCTCCCCACCCCTGCCCACTGTGGCAGAAGGACCAAAGGCACTAGCCCCCAGGATGTGGGTACCAGGCAAGGAACAGGACATGGTGATGTTCCCAGAATGGCTTAAGGGGGTGCCATATGGGCCCCTCCGCAGGTTGCCAGCCCACCCGAGTGCCTTCCAATCCTATCTCTTCCACTCTGCTGGCCTGGGCCAGGGCCAAGCCCCTGGGCTCGCTGCATTTGGCCTCAGCTGAGGCTCTACCTCCCCAGCACTGTTTCCATGCTGGCAGCTGAGCAGCCACGGACCCAGGCAGCATTCAGATGGCACCTCCCTGGGGCCTCCTCTGGCCCCAGTCTCTACACAGGGTAAGGTATGCTTGGGCAAGTCCTGTGCACGGCTGGTCAGAGTCGTCAGGGAGCAGAGGTTCAGCTCCCAGAGACCCAAGAATAACCCCAATGAGCTGACCCACCCCTTTGCCTGGGGCTAGAGACTGTCCCTGGTGCGTCCCTGAGCCTGGGCCCTAGAGCCAAGGGTGGACATGAGGGGACCTCAGTCTTGGTTCACAGCACATGGTGCCTCCTTGGCTTCTTTCAGAGACACCAAGGCCATACCAGGCTGCCTTGGGGCCCTCCCCAACCCAAAGGTGACACATCTCCCGCCCCCTCTGCTGCCAACCGGTCTGAGCAGCACGGGAGGTGTGGAGCTGCCCAGACTTGTCTGTCCCTCCCTCCTGGGGCTCTCAACCCACGGCCCGGAAGTGGATCCCTCTCCCACGGCCGCAGGCGCCCCTCTCCTCCCCTTTCGGGTGGCTGGACACGGCTGGATAATCCAAAATAATTCCTTCTTGGCAGGCGGCCGGCGGGGGGGAGGGGGGGCTCGCATTCCAAACCCTTGTTTTTCTCAGTGACTTCCCTCTGTTCCTGGTGAAGGAACCCCTGGCCAGATCGCCCCTGGCTAGGTCTCCGCTGCCCCCATGACGGCTTGGCAAGGGAAGGGGTCCTGGACCTGTTTGCTCTCCCCTCTAGATTTCTGCGCAGCCTGCTAGTAGCTGCCACACCACAGCAAACACCCCATGCAAACCCTGCCTTCCCAGGTTCCCTGCTCAGACCAGGACAGGGCAGCGTCTGGGCACAGGGCCGGCTGAGCACCCCACAGGAGTGCATCCCTGATGCCCCACGGTGTGTGTGCGAGGCAGGCCGGGGGTGCGAGGCAGCCGGGCCCTAAAGACCTCAGGACTGAAGCTTAAGTTAAAGATCAAGCGCAGGCCCAGGGAGCCTACGGCCCAGAAGTTTCCAGGCTTTGGGGCCTGGATTTACCCCCAGCCTTGACCTCCACACCACCATGGTGACCAGACAGACACCGTGCTTCCCTTTCCTAGAGGCTGCAAAGAATTCAGTGACGTGGCAGACAGCGCCAGGGGTCTGAGCTCAGAGACCCCCAAAGGGAGAGACAGGACTTCGCGAATCAGCCCAAAGCTTGACCAGAGGTGGCTGAGGGGCCTCATTGTGAGGGCTCAGCAAAGCCGCGGGGAGGGAAGGACCAGCAGGTGGGCAACGCGATCGCGAAGTTCAAGACTGGCAGGGTCCCAGGCGTCCGCACACACAGCCACAGCCGCACATACAGCAGCGGGAGCTGGGCCGTCCAGGGGCGAGGTGCAGGTCCTCTGCGCCCCGGCTCTCCACACCCGGTACTAGGACTGCGCGGCCCGGCGAGGCCCCTGGAAACACCCGGCTCGGGCGGCTGCGCGCTGGCCCAGAGACGACGCCCCCGCTGGAGGCTGGCCCGGAGCTCGCGAGCCGGCAGGGCCGCTGGGGTCCGGGCCCCCAGGGTCTCCGACCCCCAGCCCCCTAGGCCTCGCCCTGCGCCGGGCGCGCGCGGATGCAGGGACGGGGGCAGCTCGGACCCTGCGCCGCCCTTAGCCCCCGCCCCAGCCCCGACCCCCGCGGTACCTGCACGTCAGCCGCCGAGGCTCGATGGCGCCCGGGCCGCGATCGGCGCTGCGCTTCGGCCCGCGCGGCTGCCATGGAGACGGGCCTTTGTGTGGCCGAGGAGGGGCCGGAGCGCGCGGGAGCCGTCGGCCCCGCCCCCGCCAGGAGGAGGAAGGCGGGAGCGCGGGGGAGGGGGGAACAGGACTGTGGGGGAGGGGGAAGGAGGGCGGGGGGGGGGAGGGCGCGGGCTGTGCACCGCACCCCGTTTTCGCCCGCGCCCCGCTCATCTAGGCTCCCCGAGGCCACCGGCTTGCTCCAAGATGCCTGGAGTTTGTACCCGACAGCACCCTCCGGGCCCCACTGCTGTCTCCAGCCCTGCAAGTCTGGGCACTACCCAAAGTGGAACTCCCCCCCACTAGGGTCTCTTCCAGGGGTGTCAGCCCTTGCCGCTCTTCCAGGAGCTCCCGGGGAAGGGGGAGTGCCCTCGGTTAGTGTGTAACCTTGAGACTCTCAGTAGAATTCAGTGAGACAGGACCTTGCCAAAGGCCCCACTTCTGGCCTCCCAGTCCCCCACGTCTGGGCCCAGACTTAGAAGACTTGGGCATACCCCTGTGTTCCTCGTGGACCCTTCTGTGGCAGGACAGGGTGGGAACCCACTTCCCAGAGCCTCTGACCTCCCGGTCCTTCTTCCACGCTATCTTGGGGACAACCCCACACATACGCAAACTGCTAAGGCCCTGGGCAAGCAGGCCAGCGCACCGCAGGGCAACCTGCCCTCCCACCCCCGCAGCAGTCAGGCCTGTTCCAGCCCCTGCTTACCACTGTCACCACAGCCCAGGCCACATCTTTGCCAAAGCCCCATCATGCAGGACACAAAATTACCAAAGTTCAACTGGGCTGCAAGCTATTTATTAAAAAATGTTAAAAGACAATCATTTTGTCACAAAAGGATACTTTAATAACAAAGATGTGAGGGACCATGATCTCACTGAGGGTACTCTGAAATACACTGGTGAAGAACTGTCCCTCCCCATCCATCCTGGGGTAGCCCCACCACATAGCCTGGCCTAGTCTGTGGGCCCCTAGGCCTCACTGAACACAACAGCCCCTCCCTCTCATGAACCACCTGTTTCTGTGGCCTTGCCACTCTGCAGTCCTTTAGCCCTTCCTCCCTGCACTGTGTGCCCCTGGCCTTCCAGTGGGCAGCACCAAGACCCTGTCTGAAACAGGCTGAGCTACTTTCCTTTTGGCCTGATCCCAAGGCCCAGGAGGGGCCCAGGCTCAGCTCTACCCAGTGGCCAGGACCCCACAGCACTCCCACTCCTATTCTTACGTGCCTCAGCCTGGACTATGTCCTGGGTGGGTCCCCAGGTGTCCTCCTGATGAACCCTCTCCACAGTGGTCTCAATGAGCTCTGACCCCCCCCCCCAGAATCTAGGGACCCAGGAGATCGGGTTGGATGCCCCTGGGGTAATGGTGGCTATCAAGAAAGGCAGCCCTCAGGCATGGTGAAACATGTAGTACAAGGACATTTGGGGTTGTCCCCACCACAAGGTGGGGTCACAATCCTGTCCCTGGAATTGGAGTCAGATCCAGTACTGCCATCTTGGTGTGTACACCATGGCATGGTTCTGCCGAGGGCCCTGGCAGCAGAGCCTCTTTGCCCATCTTGTCACCCAGGAAGCTTCCAAAAATGCCATACTATTGCCACATGGAAGCCAGGCCCTCGGTGAGGAGGCTGGCACCTCTGTGCCTGACAATGGCCTGGGTACTAAGCCACCCTTCCTCACTCAGGATCTCCAGCACCTCCACCCTGCTGTGTAAAGGCGCCATGTCTGCCTCCCCCTCTGCCACCATGTGTTCTGTATCTGTGCCAGGCTGTCCTGGACCATGGTCGGCAGATGGGTCAACACACACTGGGTTCCGAGGAGCTCACGCTGTACACTGGGGTCTGCAGCTGCTGTGTGAGGTGCAGTCTACCTTTGCCTCCCTCATGCACGTTAGCTGAAGATCCCCCACCAGCGCCCCCTTCAGGCATCACAGGGCTCAGAGCCAGCTGCTCTCAGCTCAGCCTGGTAGCACATCTAGGTTTTTGGGGTTTTTTTGGTGGAACCAGGGATTGAACTCAGGTCCTTGCGCTTGCCAGGGAAGTGCTTATTCCACTGAGCCATCTCCCCGGCCCCTAGTGGGCATCTAGGAAGCCTCACCTCCTAGACAAAGAGCCCAAGGGTCTGTGAGGTCAGCAGCTAGTGATGCTCTCCTGGGGTTCAGTGGCAGCTCTGGTCCAACCCTAAGCACACCTCTTCTATATAGCCCCACCAGTGTCACCATCCTTGGCCATATCACTACCTGAGGCGACAGCACTACCTCACTGGGCTCAGGCTTGACTAAGAACCCAGAGGTGGCACCTCCGGTGCTTGCCAAGGAGATTGGCTGCACCAGGGCTGTGGGGGCTGGGCAGCAGAGTCAGACCAATCCAGAGCCCGCAGGCCCCGAGGGTAGAAGTGGGGTATATGGGATTCCAGGAGAGAGGCCAGGCCCATACTGTGGAGTCCAAGTGCCAGACCGAGCCTGCTGCCCAGTAGGCCCTCCACACCACTCCTGCTCTCCCCTGTGCAGCTCAGGCAGGCAGTGGGTACACAAGAGTGGTCTCTCTCCCCACCATGGCTGACATGGGCAAGGTGTCCCCATCTCCACAGGGCAAGATGGGCAGGCGGCAATGGCTCCTGCCAGCTGCCTCCCTCTGTTCTAGCAGCCTGCGGGGCTGAAGGACATATCAAACACCACGTGGAGTGTGGGCAGATGGGCAATAGCAGGGTGGGCAGGAGCTGTGCCCAAATCAGCCAGGGCTCTCGCGCTACAACCCCCCTACTTGCCCTCTGCAGCCATGCAGGCAGGTGGGGCTGGAGCAGGAGTTCTGCTAGCACACAATCTCCCAGTCAGGGACCAGACTGTGGTTCCAAATGTCGCATTTACTGTGGAAACGAGGGGGCTGCAGCCCAGGCAGGGGGCCAAGCTGGGATTGGGCACAAATGAGGGCCCTCCAGGGGAGGCTTGGCAGGCCAGGCCTGGGGCCTGCACACGTTGGTCCAGCCTAAGGAGGGCACAGGACAACCTGCAGGTCTTTGGGCAGGGAGCCGATGACCATCTCGATGTACAGCTGTGCCCGCTGTAGTGTCACCTCCTTCACAGGGAGCTGGTGGCCCTGTGCCCGCACCTGTAAGGCATTGCAGTCAGAGGCAGGACACCTCCTGCCAGGCATAGTAGCTGGGCAGAGCAGGACAGGGGCTGCTCACCAGCTTCTCCCGGAGTTTCAGGACCAGGTCCACCACTTCCACCTCTGATTTGTCCTTCATCCAGGTCTCAATGTTCTGCAGGGACAGTGCAGGTCCTCGGTCACAGAAGCCCCCAGCCTGCCCCCGGCCCCCAGACCCCAGCCTGATCCCAGCCTCTCTCACCGCCTCACAGATCGCCTCCAGGTGCAAGGCCTCCAACTTCTGGGCCATCTCTTTGTGCCGCTGCCGGTACCAGCCATCAAAGTGGGGTGACTTGAAAAACCGCCTATGGGGGACAAGTAGCAGCAACTGAGGAGCTGGCCCAGTGTGCCAGGTGGCCATGGGCAACCTGCAACAGGTACCCACCTGTAGAGGCCCAGCCAGTCGCCCTTGAGGATACAGGTAAGCTGGGGCCCAGCATGCTCCAGGCTGCGAAGGAAGTCATCCTGGCAGAAGGGGCGGATCTGGGGTGGGGTCTGAGACAGGGGCCAGTGAGCAGGTGCTAGGGGACACAACCCACAACCCCATACCCACACTACATCTGAGGCTCCCCCACCCAGGTCCAGCCCTTCCAGGGCCCCCCAGTTCTCTGCCCTGAGCAGTGGACCTGCCTCAGACCTTCCCCCTCTGGATAGAGCCCACCTTCCAGGGCGTGATGCTCTTCTGCAGTGGCATGAGGCTGGCCATGTAGTGCTCCTGGAGGTACAGGGGTAGGGAGTAGAGAATGAAGGGGAAGTGAGCCTGGGGCCTTGACCCCCCACTGGAGTCCTCTCCTCAGCTCCCACTGGAGTCCCCTCCTCGACCCCCACTGGTGTCACCTTCTCAGCTCCCCCTGGTGTCCCCTCCTCGACCCCCACTGGTGTCCCCTCCTCAGCTCCCACTGGTGTCCCCTCCTCAGCTCCCACTGGTGTCCCCTCCTCAGCTCCCACCGGTGTCACCTCCTCGACCCCCACTGGAGTCCCCTCCTCGTCTCCCCCTGGTGTCCCCTCCTCGGCTCCCACTGGTGTCCCCTCCTCAGCTCCCACTGGTGTCACCTCCTCGATCCCCACTGGAGTCGCCTCCTCAGCTCCCACTGGTGTCCCCTCCTCGACCCCCACCGGTGTCCCCTCCTCAGCTCCCACTGGAGTCCCCTCCTCAGCTCCCACTGGTGTCCCCTCCTCGACCCCCACTGGTGTCCCCTCCTCAGCTCCCACTGATGTCCCCTCCTCAGCTCCCACCGGTGTCACCTCCTCGACCCCCACTGGAGTCCCCTCCTCGTCTCCCCCTGGTGTCCCCTCTTCGGCTACCACCGGTGTCCCCTCCTCAGCTCCCACTGGAGTCCCCTCCTTGACCCCCACTGGAGTCCCCTTCTCGACCCCCACCAGTGTCCCCTCCTCGTCTCCCCCTGGTGTCCCCTCCTCAGCTCCCACTGGAGTCCCCTCCTCATTCCCCCCCCCATGTCCCCTCCTCAGCTCCCACTGGAGTCCCCTCCTCATCCCCCCCCCGTGTCCGCTCCTCGGCCCCCACCGGTGTCCCCTCCTCAGCTCCCACTGGAGTCCCCTCCTTGGCTCCCACTGGTGTCACCTCCTCGACCCCCACCGGAGTCCCCTCCTCAGCTCCCACCGGAGTCCCCTCCTCGGCCCCCACCGGTGTCCCCTCCTCAGCTCCCACTGGAGTCCCCTCCTCATCCCCCACCGGTGTCCCTTCCTTGATCCCCACCGGTGTCCCCTCCTCGGCTCCCACTGGAGTCCCCTCCTCATCCCCCACCTGTGCCCCCTCCTCGGCCCCCACCGGTGTCCCCTCCTCAGCTCCCACTGGAGTCCCCTCCTCAGCTCCCACCGGTGTCCCCTCCTCGGCCCCCACCGGTGTCCCCTCCTCAGCTCCCACTGGAGTCCCCTCCTCAGCTCCCACTGGAGTCCCCTCCTTGACCCCCACTGGTGTCCCCTCCTCAGCTCTCACTGATGTCCCCTCCTCATCCCCCACCAGTGTCCCCTCCTCGACCCCCACCGGAGTCCCCTCCTCGTCTCCCCCTGGTGTCCCCTCCTCGTCTCCCCCTGGTGTCCCCTCCTCAGCTCCCACCGGAGTCCCCTCCTCATCCCCCACCGGAGTCCCCTCCTCATCCCCCACCGGAGTCCCCTCCTCGGCCCCCACCGGTGCCCTGGTCCCTCTGTCCAGGCCTCACCAGGGGAATGATGAAGCTCTGCGTGAGTTCCAGGAGGTGGCGCCTCAGCAGAGCGCTCTGCACATCCCATGGCCGCTGCTTCTGCACACCCTGCCAGAGGGAGGCGGGCAGCTGAGCCCTGAGTGGCCAGACTGCTGCCTTCGCGCCACCGCAGCCCCACACCCTGCTCCGCTCCACGCCTGTACCTTGAGGAGTCTCTTGAGCAGCGCCTTGTCCCGGTGCAGGTGGGCTGTGTAGGAGGTGTAGAGGCCTGGCAGGAGGGCAGGGCAGCAGCCGTCCTTCTGGCCTCCCTCCCGCCTGCCCGCCCTGCTGCAGGCCCAAAGCGTAGCTGGTGGGCATCTGACCTTTCTGGGCAGCACCTGCACATCTCAGCCCACCCCACCCCACCCCACGGCTGCAGAGACCTGAGGAGAACATCCCCACCGCACCCCATTCCCCCTCAGAGGACAGTGGCTGCCCCACTGGACCTGCCAACTGCAGACAGGCCCCTCTGCAGAAGGGGCACAGACCTGGCTTGGTGTCAAGGGTCTTCAGCCTTGAGGGCTTTTTCAACTTGATCTGCTTAGGAAGGTCCCCTGCAAGATGCAGCCAGGATCAGGGTCCACTGCTTTGGCCATGCCTGCAGGCTTGGAGGTCTTGGACTCAGATGCCCCCTCAAGGTTCTAGGCTGGCTGGGTGAGGCTTCTGAGCCCACCACCCAGTCCTCCTCAGCACCCCTCACCTGACATCTTGGGCTCCCCAATTCGGAGGATATGGGGCCAGTGCTGGAGTGTTTTGATAAAGAAAGGGTTTGTGACTCCCAGAACCACGTTAGGTCTAGAGAGAGAGAGAGAGAGAGACAGAGAGAGAGAGAGAAGAGGCACAGAAAAGCCAGGGAAGGTGGCCTGAGCTGGGGGATGGGCAGGGTGGATGCACTTACGGGGCCTGGGTGCGTGTGGTAAGCTCCTTAAATTCACTGTCATGGATGGTGAAGTAGGGGCGGAAGTCACAGCAGAACTTGAGGGGCTGCAGGCAGCTGTGGGTGGGAGCAGGTAAGACAGGCTGCTGGCTGTGCCAGGATAGCCAGGGACGAAGGCGTGTACCTGGTCAGGGCAAGCACCATCTCTGAGGACACGTCGGGCGAGGGGGCCAGGACCACCAGAGGCTCCCCAAGAAGCACGAGCTCCCACAGTGTCTGCACATGGGTCAGCACGGGCCGGAAACACCTGTCAGTGGGCAGGCAGGGACAGGCAGGGCCTGAGATCCCTGTGGCTAGACACAGGTCTGGCAAGTCCCAGCCTTGGATGAACACAGGGTGGGGAGGGTAGATGAGGACCTCAGATCATGCCTCGGGTGTGCAGGCCACTCCGGGCTCCATCTGCTGTAAGAGTGGGGAGAGTGGGCTGGACACAACCTAAACCCGGCCCATATGGGGCCAGCTGTCCCACAGTCCTTCTGAGCCAGACAAGGAACCCCTCCCAGCCCCTGCTGTCCCTCAAGCCTACAGTTCTGCTCCTCTGGGCCAAGCAGGGGAAGGCTGATCCCAAAGCCCACGCTCCCTTGATTCAGAGAGGCAGAGAGGGCAACCTCAGGAACCTTATAGCCCATAGTGCCCACACATGGGCCCAGGTTTCCTCTTCTCTACAACCTCCCCTTGCAGGACATACGAACCGTCCCTCATGACCACTAGTGCCTCCCTGGAGTGGCCCCCTCAATACAGCAAGCTGCACCTTGGACTCACCTGAATAGGTCCAGTTCATGGACACTGGCAAGGACAACAGGGGCTGGCAGCAGGTTCTGGAGGTGGAGGGCAGGCAGTCATGGTCACAGGGAGAAGCTAACCTGAGACTATGCTTGGCTTGTCACCCCCCAGGAAAGCGGGGTAGAACTCAGTCCCTCTCCTCCAGCCCTACCTCTTGGTCACACTGCCTCAGAGGCCTGGATTCCGGTTTGTCTACCCTGGATGGGATGCACACCTGTGGAGGGAGGGAGCAGCCACCAGAGTGAGTAGGGTGTTTCCACACCCGTGTGCTCCCTTGGTGGCGACCCTCACCTGGATGACAACACCCATAACAGGGAGGTTCAGGGTCTGCCCAGGCACAGGAGCTGGCCACTGGTCGATTTCATTACAAACTGTGGACAGGACACAGGAGACCCAGGTCAGAAGCCCTCCCAAGGAGAAGCTGTTTTCTGAGGCCTCTGGGGCCCATATCCACCACACCTGACAGCACTCACCAGCTTCCAGACAGGGTGCCAGCTTGTCAAAGTACTCGGGGGCCATCAGGCTCAGCAGTGACTGGAACAGCCGGACAAAGGGCAGGCGGGACAGCAGCACCAGGGACTGTGGTGACACACCGACTGTCAGAGGACAGCCAGCTCCAGGTGTCATCCCAGCTACTCAGGGGCCTGTGGGGATCCTGACACCAAGGCAGTCAGAGCTGGCCCAGGGCACTGTATCCTGTCAAGTCCATTAGGATAGCTGCTCAGAGGGATGCACTCAGATTCCAAGATTACCAGGAGACAGCAAGGTGCAGAAGGGCCCCAAACCTCAAAGGGAATGTGAGGCAATGAGATTCTGGGCCCACTGCACCAGGGCCATGCCTGGCATCAGGATTGGAGCTGTCCTAATCCTGAAGCTGTGACAAGGCTTGACAGGGCCAGGAGGCAGTGAGGGTAGGGCTGTCTGGGCCTGGGGACAGACAAGCCATGGATGGTACCTGAGGCCAGAGGCTTGAGGGGAGCCAGACACGTGGTACCCTTCCTGCCTTGCTGCCCTGGCCCCTCTGTAGAAAGGTGGGCACTTCTGGAGCTCAGACTCCTGGCCACCCCAAGGCCCCTGTGCCTGCCAAGGGGGCAGGGCTCACCTTCTGGAAGTAACCCCTCTTCACAGAGCTGTCCTTCACTTGCCGGAAGTACACGTAGCCAAGGTAGTGTGCTGGCTCCTTCTGGAAGGGGTATGCGTTAGCCATGCCCACTCAGGCTATCTGGCAAGGTCTAGGCCACAGTGTCAAGAGATGGGTAGGGACTGGTGTGGGGGGATGGCACTTATAGGTACAGAAGGCTCTGGAACCAAGGGTCCCTGCACTCTGGGGCCTGTGCTTAGGAAGGCAGAGGCCTCTCAGGGTTAGACCCTGGCTCCGGGGCTCGGAAGACAGGCGGTGCCCCTCTAGAAGAGTTTCTTCTGCACAGCAAGGGACACTAAAAGAGGAGGCCTCTGCTCACAAAACCTGATTGATGTGAAGGACTCTGGCGACCTTGGTGAGCCCCCAGAGGGCAAATGCAGCCTGGCACTTGGGCTGCAGGACTGGCCTGGCTTGCACAGCACCTGTCCTGCCACACAGGGCCTGGCAGACCTACAGGGGGGGCTCGCACTGCCTGGGGACCCTGCGAAGAAAAGGGTCCGCTCACCTGCAGTGCCACAGGGGCCTTGCTGTTGTAGGGCTGGTCATCTGCATGCCAGGGGCTCCTGTGTCCTCCACACTGTCGCATGCGGAAACTGAACTGAGTGTCCCCAAGGCAGCCTGAGGAAGGGCAGCAGCACCCTGCAGGTCAGGGCTAGAAGCCTCCACTGCCACTGTTTGGTGGAGTAGACACAAGGGGGCAAGGGCTCTGCAGGGCTAGCCTCTCCTGGCACAAATGTCCCAGACAAGATCCCCCACCCGAGTGACTGCATTTCCCAAAGGCTTTCTACCTTGACTTTTCACACCCCACTAACTAAGGTCTTGCAATAAACTGAGCCCATAACAGAAGTACCTTCCATGTCCCTAGGGGACATAGGCCCAGCCTGCCTGGGACAGGTGACCAGGCTCTGGACAGTGGCCACCAGGAGGAGGAGGAGTAGAATGGTAGACCCAGATCTGGGTAGTCAGTGGGGAGGGTGCAAGAGACAGACTCTGCTGGAACCTTTGCTTGAGCCACCTTTCCATGTGACTCCTGAGCAGCAGAGGCTCCAGTGTCTCCAGAGCAGGGCACAGGTAGGTGGCACTTACCCGGGAGGCAACCCTGACACCTCTGGCCTGGGTCCCCCCTCCCCCTTCCCAGAACCAGCATCTAGCCCAAGAAGGGTGGGGTCACCTACCTGAGTGGGAGTCAGGAAAGGATAGGTAGCAGATGCTGCTTTTCTGAAATACAGAAGCAAGTGAGGACCACTCCCTCCTGGAGACATCTACTCCCAAGAGCACCAGGACCTACCTCCTTGTCTGTGAGCCGGAAGTCACTGGGGTACACCAGCTGCAGAGAAGAACAGAGCACTTGGTGACACCACTGGCTTACAAGAGCCACTGCCTCCTGGCCCTCTTCCCAGAGTTCCTCTATCCCCACCACACTGTCTTCCTGGCTCAGGCCGTCTGGGCTCCTCGAAGGTGCCCCTCTTCTTATCCACTCCTTCTCCTGCACATGGCCTCCCAAGCCACCTGTGTACACCTCAAGGGACCTAGAGACACGCCCCATCCCCCAGGCTCATCCTCTACTCCCTCACTCCTGTTCCCGGCCAGAGAGCATCAGGTTCAGCCATCTCTTCATGTGTTTATTCAGATGTCACCTAGCAGAGACTGTGCCTCATGATGGCAGCTTCTACTAGCCCCCAACTGACCCTCTCCCCTGGGCCTGGGCCCCATGTATGTGGCCAGCTGTGTCAGTCTCACCATGGCCCAGGGAGTGGGCAGTCGGGTAGCACCCAGACACGGAAACGCAGGCTCTGGCCAGTCTAGAGATCGGCAAGCTCTGCAGCAGAAAGTGGGCCAGGCAGGCACGGCTAGGAGAGCCCCAGAGGGTAGTAAAACAGTCCGTTTGCAGTGGGCCCAAGGTGTCTCCTGGCCTGACTCTCAGCAAGGTGGTCTCATGTCTACCTAGCACCTGCGTGAAGAGTCACTTAGGTTGAACCTCAGGAGAGCTGCTGTCCCCAGGATGAACACGGCACACTCAGGGACTAGCACTGCTTCTTGTCCCTGTTTAGCCAGGTCGTGCTGCTACATCCTACTTTAGTCTCTTGAAGGCAGGGACTCTGTCCTAGTTATTTCTGCCTCCCGGTACTTGGCAGGAAACAGACCCTTCCCCAGTACAGCATCTGTAGAAGGTATGAAAATCCTTCTGTAAGGTCGACCAGAATAGGTAGGAGTGACAGTTAATTTTAGGAGTCAATGTGACTGGATTAAGAAATATCTAGGAAACTAGAAAAACATTGCTGCTATGAGGATGCTTCCAGGGGCTGGGGAGAAGGCTCAGGAGAATAAGTGCTTGCCTGGCAAGCACAAGGGCCTGAGTTCAATCCCCGGTTCCGAGAAAAAAAAAAAAAAAAGACGCTTCTAGAAGAGACTGACATCTGGGTTGGCGGGCTGAGTGGACATCTACTCTGTATGGGGCCAGGCAGCACAGCAGTACCAGAGAAAAGCCATCTCTTCTGCCCACTCCTGTAACTGAAACACTTTTCCCTTAAGCAGGAGAACTCCAAGCTCTGTGGATCCCAGGACATGCCTCAGAACTGGCTCCTCCACCCCAGCTTCTTGGTCTCAGGCCTTTGGCTTCCCTGGCTCCAAGGCCTCCAGACTTGGCCTGAGCCATGCAGCCGGTGTCTCAGGATCTCTACCTTGCACATGGCCAGCTTCCAGACCCATAAACCAGCTCCCTAGTGAACCATACCCATCCATCCACCTGTCCATCTAGTTCATCTGCCTCTCTGTGGCAAGTGATGAGACCTCAACCTTGCAATGAAACATAGTCAAGGAGCTGCCAGTTACACCAAACGGTTAGGAAGGAGGGAGACAGGAGCAGGTAGGAAGCTAAGGGGGACTTGGCGGTGGGGTCAGACCAACAGAGATGCCTGGATAGCCCAGTGAGAGGCAGGGACCACAAGACACACGGACCAAACCAGTGTCTGCACTGTGAGGAGGGTGGAGGTAAGGTAGGTGCTGGTAGCTGGGGCAGGACCACAAGGGGTCCTTTCATGAAGTCAAAGGAGCCTGGCAGTCTCAGGGAAGCCCCGTGCCTCAGCTCTCCACTTGTGTCCTGCGGCCCTATTCCAGGGAAACCTGTGTTCACGGCTGAGAGCCCTCACTGCCAGTGCCCCCGTGTCCAGGTAGCCTACAGGTGAATGCTAGCCTAGGCTGAGTGGGCCATGCCCAAGTGAGGGGACAACTGGAGCAAAGCTCTGCACAGGGAGGTCTCTGCCTATCCACTGGCCAGGCCCTGTCCTGCCCAGGCTTCCCACAGAAGCTGTCTTTCTTACCAGAGACAGCCTGTATAGGTCACTGCTCCTGCCCACTCAGCTGTCCTGAACAAGCCGGGGTGACAGGCTTTGCTTGGATCTGGAGGCAGCGGTTCTCAGAATGCGGACCAGCAGACCTTCAGGTCCACATGGTCAGGCTGTTCTCCCCAGTCAGGGCCTGCTCCATGTTCAGCTAGCTCCCTGCACACACAGCTCCCTGAGGGATGCATGTACCCCTGGTGGACTCCGTGCAAGTGGATGTGAGGATCTAGCTGGCTCTTATCTGGTCAGGCCTTCACCAGGCTTATCAAAGTGGGGTGGTGGGCTGGGGAGATAGCTCAGTAAATTAAGCACTTGCCTGACAAGCTCAAGGTCCTGAGTTCAATCCCCAGTACTACAAAATAATAATAATAATAATAATAATAATAATAATAAGGGCTGGTGAGATGGCTCAGTGGTCTAAAGCACCTACTTAGAACAAGCTTAGCAAAGCACAGGGACCGCAGTTCAGTCCCCCAGCACCACATGCCAGCCAGCCCCGCCCCCTGGTGGGCTGAGCTGGCCACACACACACACACAAATAAATAAATTTTAAAATAATAATAAAAGAAAAAAAAAAAAAAGAAAAGAAAAAGTTGGGTGGCATGCTGTGGTTCAATCTCATCCTCAAGCCAAACCGGACCTACCCTGAAGGCATCCTGAGTTGTTTTTTTTTTTTGCTCCGAATGCCTTCAGGACAGGTTCGGCTGGTGTGAGATGTGGGATTCAAACCACAGCAACCTGAGCCTGACCGCTTTGCTGAAGCAGCCACTTAAAGAACTGAGCTAAGGGCAGGCCCCCAGCTCAGGTGTTTAAGTGCCTGCTGAAACAAAGTGGGGTGGCATACACTTATAATCCCAGTACTCAGGAGGCTGAGGCAGGAAGATCACAGAGTTCAAGGCCAAAGTGGGATACAGAGTGAGACCCAACCCTATCAAACTATTCCTCTTGATTGTACTTGTGTTTGTTTTAGAAAATGTGGTATTTCTCATAAATACATATTACATTAATATACAAGGTGTATTTTTTCATTTTAATAAGCCTGGCACCAAAGTTTAGGACTTTTAATTTGTCCCAAAATCACTGACGCAAAAAAAGTCATAAAATAGTCTGCATTCCTTTATACCCCTTAACACATTCAAAGAAAACTATTTGTAGGAAAAAAAATAGTTTTGTACATGGGATGAAACATATAAATTCAAAACTTACAAGTCAGCATTAGCTCTACCACTCATCTCCCAAAAAAGTATATGAATCTCCAGTCAAAACCAGCAAGGAAGGGCTGGCCTGATAGCTCAGTGAACTAAAGCGCCTGCTTAGGCAGAGCACATCAGCTGGGTTCGATCTGGCAGGCAGTGCTGGCCCTGCCCCCAGGTGCACTGAGACTGATGGAGACTGGCCGCGGAGGCACTGGCCTATAATCCCAGCACTTGGGAGGCTGACAACAGGAGAAGCACTACAAGTCCGATCTACATAGTAAAACCCTGTAGGCCCTGTCCTAAATACAGAAAAACAAAACAAAACAAAACAAAACACAGCAGGGAATGTCAGGCACATATCTCCTGAAGTGCCATCGCTACAATCCCAAGGGGTACTTTTTCTTAAATAAAGTCATAAAGTGCCCTGTTTTAGTTTTAGCATAAAAAACATGGGCAGGTATAACCCACACAGACAAAAGGCTCTCTGGAGTCCTCAATAATTTGAGGACTGAGACTGCACAGTGTGGAAGCTGCTGCCCAGGAAGAGCCCGCCTGGAGGGGCCCCGAGCCCTTGTGGCCACAGGACCTCCCAGATGAGGCAGAACACTGAGCTGAGCTTTCAAGGGCTGCAGTGGCAGAGCCAGGCCCTCCCTTTGGCTCATCTGATGCTCCTGGAGCCCCTGGACCATGAACTCCCTTAGCCTTGCACAAAGGCTCCAGAGGATTTAACTGCATGGGACCCCACCTGTGGGTGCTGGAGGGCTGGGAACACTGCAGGTCCAGAACCATTCACTCCGTCTCTAACAGACGGACTGTCAGAAGGCAAGGTTCATGATAGCTGCGCAGTACTTGATTTAGCAAATGAACAAATCCGTGAACAGCCTCTTGCTTTGGCTCACTTTGGCTTTTTGAGAGGAGTTACCTGAAACACACTCTTCCCACCTCTAGTCTAGCAGCCACCTTTCACCCTCCAAGGCTTAGCAGAGCCTGCCTCAGTCTACTTTGAACAGCCTATATTCTTTTGGTATCCCCAACCAGGCCAGTACCAGGGCTTCCCAAACCCCTGTCATATGAGCTGAGTGAAAGTTGCAGAAATCCACTCTTCCCCATAGCTCTAGGGGAAGAAGGAGGCAAGATGCCACCTCCTCCTTCACTCAGTGTTTGGCACAGACTAACCACCAGGAGCCTGGGGTCTCCCCTCACCTCACAGCACAGCCTGTGCAGCCTCAGGCGCCTAGACACACGTGAACACACTCTATCTGTGCATGCTTAGAACCAACACTCTGCATGGTTATGTTTTAGAATGTTAGACAGGAGATCCCTTAAGGAAAGGCCTTGTATGTATGTGTGTGATGTGGTGTGTGTGTGTGTTCATACCTCACAACAAAGCTCAGGCTGGCCTCCAACTTGAGATCTCCTGCCTCAGCTTCTCTATTGCTGGAATTATAGATGTGTACAATACTTGGCTCTTCATCAGGCATAGTAGCAAATGCCTGCAATCCTGGCACTTGGGAGGATCACACAAGAATTCAAGGTCAGCCTGGGCTACATAGTAAATCCAAGGCCACCCTGAACTACACAGTGAGACCTTGTTTCAAAACAAACAAAAACACTTGACACCTTTGTGACTTGATTTGAGGAATAGAAAGTGGGCTCTGCAAAAGGTGATTTTATGGCAAAATCACCTTGCCTCCGGAGCTGCCCTGTGCGCCGGAGCGGAGCAGCCGGAGTGAGGAGCGGGGAGAGCTGGAGCGAAGAAGCGCCGGGGCCCGCATGTGGGATGCGTTTGACGGGGCTCCAGAGTAAACGAGGCCCTTAAGAGCTCCGCCTAGTTCTCAGGCTGAAATCCCACCTCAGAGCCCAGAGTCAGCAATGGCTAAGCCCCAGGTGGTCGGGCTCGCTGGTGATGTCTAGGCTGTCCGCCAACGCCCCCGAATTCCACCGGTCGGGTTAGGCTGCCTATGCGGAATCCTACGAAGATGGCTGTGAGGATTACCCCACTCTGTCAGACTACGTTCAGGTTTTGAATCATCTTACAGAGCAACCTGGCAGTTTTGAAACTGAAATTGAGCAGTTTGCAGAGACCCTGAATGGCTGGGTTACAACAGATGACGCTGTGCAAGAACTTACGGAACTCGTCTACCAACAAGCCACATCTATCCCAAATTTCTCTCACATGGGAGCTCACCTGTGTAATTACCTGTCCCATCATCTGACAATTAGTCCAGAGTGGCAACTTCCGCCAATTACTACTTCAAAGATGTGGGACTGCATATGAAGTTAAAGATCAAGCTGCAAAAGGGGATGAAGTGACTTGAAAACGATTTTACGCATTTGTACTCTTTCCGGGAGAACTTTATGTTAACCTGGAGACCAAGGGAACAAATGGACAGGTTACAAGAGCAGATATTCTCCAAGTTGGTCTGCGTGAATTGCTAAATGCCCTCTTCTCCAATCCAGTGGATGACAACTTAATTCGTGCAGTAAAATTACTAAAGCTGACAGGGTCAGTTTTGGAAGACGCTTGGAAAGAAAAACTGAAGACTGACATGGAAGAAATTATTCAGAGAATTGAAAATGTTGTCCTAGATGCAAACTTAGCAGAGATGTACAACAGATGCTCTTGAAGCCCGCAGAACTCCAGTCGGGCATCTGGGGTAGAGTACGTGGGACTCCAACATGCAGAGAAGCAACACCTGGAAATGACCCTGAGTACTTTAGGAGTGAGCCAACATTTTATACACCAGATGGCCTTCCCTTCACCAGGCTGATCCAGATCACCAAGACAAATACCAAGAATTACTTAAAAGAGAGGACTTCTTTCCAGATTATGAAGAAAATGGAACAGATTTATCAGGGGCTAGTGATCCATACTTGGATGATATTGATGATGAGATGGGCCCAGAGATTGAAGAAGCTTATGAAAAGTTTTGTCTGGAATCAGAGCATAAGCGAAAACAGTAAAGTTAAATTTTGCCGTATCAGTTTTATAAAAGTTTGGGTATGATGACTTAGCAGAACACAAGAAAGCAAGAACGTTTGTTATACCAAATTAAGGCTGTTGAGCTATGCTATTAATGCATGCAACTTCAATTTTGTTTAACAATATCTGCCAAAATAAACTTTATTCCCTATAACTTAAAATGTGTGTGTGTATATACATATATATATATATTAGTTTATTATGTACAGTTAATTCTACTGTTTTGGCTGCAATATAATCATTTTGAAATTAAAAAAAAATCACCTTGCCTCTCTATCCAGGCCCCTCCATCAAGTGGTGTCATTTGCCAAAGTGCAGTGTTCAGTAGGATTAGGTCCCCACAGAGTGGGGGGCCTGACCAAGAATTAGTTGTGTAGGGGCTTGTCAGTTAGCTCAGCTGTTTAAGCGCGTGCCTGAGCAAACCCAGTCAGGTGCAGGGGACCACAGTTTGATCCCCAGCTCCACATGCCATACCAGACCCACCCTTAAGGCAGCCTTGGCCAACCAAAAAAAAAAAAAAAAAAAAAAAAATTAGTTAGATTTTGGACTTTTCACAGCTTCTCAGAGTCCAACAGGGCCTTATGAAGCATTTCCCACCTTGCACTGGCTTTCCTTAGGGTGACTCCGCAGCCTCATCTGACACACTGCAGTGATGGAGTGCTCATGGCTACTCATAAGTCCCTCCTAACAGCTGGTGAAGTCTGCCTCCCAGGCATCTCCACGCTGTGCCATCGATACCAGGAAAAAGTGAGGCTGCCCCTGTGAGGGGAGGCGTGCAGGCAGTGGGAAGAACACATCACAGGCGAGATGTGACCGGAAGACCAAGGTTGAGAACAGATTAGGGCCCCGCATGGGCTCACAGGGTCTGGATCTGACTCTACATGAAGCACCCCTGGATTTTATTTTATTTATTTACTTTTGGTGGAGCCGGGGATTGAACTCAGGCCGTTGAGCTTGCCAGGCAAGCACTTATTCTACTGAGCCAACTCCCTGGTTTTAAAAAGGCGAGGTACACGGGTTGAACTGGGGAGAGAGCGTGGTGAGGAAAAGGTGCCATTGGTGACTCCAGCAGAAAAGCGTCAAGGAGATTCTAGTCCAAGGGTCAGCTGTCAGCCTTGCCTGAAGCATGATAAGGGTGGCATCAAAGGTGGAGCGACGAACCGGGGGCATGACCTTGCCTGGGTGCGACAGGCCCAGGGACGATGCGACCCGGTCTCTGGATGTGCAGACTCAGGCCCTACCTCCCACCTGTCAGGAGCGCTCCCGGAGCCCTGCAGAGGGGTTCCCTTTCTGGACGGGTCGGGTAGAGGAGGGGAGGAGACCAGGTTTCTCGTAAGGAGCTGTGGAAGGGGTCAGAGATCCGCCCCAGGTGCAGCGCGTGCAAAGGGGCGCCCCCGAGGGCCCGGGGCCAGGCAGGAAGGCGACGCCGATTGCGACGGGGTGACAGGGATGAGGGGCAGCGGAGAGGGCGGGAGGGAAGGAGCGGGAGAGCTCACCTCCAGCGCCTGGCCCAGCTCCAAGTCGAAGGTGACCACGCACACGCACTCCAGCCAGGCGGAGAAGCGCGCCCAGGGCGCCGCCGAGCCCCGCGCCGCGCGGCCGGAGGACCTGCGGCCCGCCGGGCCCTCGCGC